TTTCATCCTCCGCTATTCCTGAGGCATTTTTTAAAGCTGGTTTGCTGAAGTAATTCAAAGGTTCATATTTTTGAGTAATTCCCGTTCAAATGGTAAATTATTTACTTTTCCTCACATATAGATACTTAACTTTAAATAAAGTCGATGAACTCCACGAATATAATAATTTTGGTCATTCAATTGTGAACCTACAGTTAATTAATGGTATTCAAGAAAGAGCCAACTAATACAAATTGATTCTTAGTAGGATTCATGATTGTTTTTATACATGGATAATATTTTTTTCTAATTATATAACAAATTGATGAGACATGAATATAAACAAGAAGAAAATTTTTCATCAAATTAGCAACTCATTCCATTGTTGAGTTCACTTTATATGCTCTCAGGGCAGGGCAAAAAGTGTCCTGGGGCGGTCTCTATTTTGTACTAGTATAACGAAGCTAAAAATGTCATGTGATTTCCACAATTTAGCCTCAAAGAGGCTGCGCTAATAAGCTTTTTTTATATAAATATTTTCAACATTTTATTAGAACTTTTTCAAAAAAACCGTATTAGTCGATTTCGAAAACTTCATCATTACAGTATCGTGTTTATATTATTATTATTATAAGGGAATATGACATTCAATAATATATCATTTGAAAGGCCGTCACGAGTACTCGAAGTTGATTTAGAAACATCAACGTTAGGCATTGTTCTGTATCCCCACATAAACAAATGTTGCCGCGTCCCAAGACTTATGAAACACCCTGTATGATGTGATTCGAGCTCTCTCACTTAATTGTTTTGTGGTCAACTTCTGCAAAATCTTGTTTAACTCTAGTTTGAAGAAAGTCAAAACCAATTGACTCCATCCATCGTTATCACTTATTCATTGTTCAAGGAATAGAACAGCGCATAAAACTATTTTCAGACTTTGACTCATCTATTGACGCTGCTATTACAATTTTTTAATCGTCTCGTAATATCAACCTTGCAGCTCGTAATTGCTGGAATGCAATATGCGGACCTTCTGAAATCGATTTCGAACGATTGATTTTCATAAACGATTCTGGTGTTCGACTTGATCGAAACTGATCATGACAGCTCTCACTAACTCTGAACCTTATCCCTTAAGATAATTTTTCACATAATAGGAGAATCAGCAGCGAAATGTATAGTTCTTTAAAAAAACCTCGCAGAAAGAAACAATAGTTTTATTCGTGCGTGTAGCAAAGAAAAAGAACAATATGCCTTAGATATCGTTATCACAAAACAAAAACAAATAATAGAGTGACAGTTTGCTAACACGATGTGTCATTTTAGTCGTCAGTGAGCGAATTTCTTTATTTTAATGTCTGCTAACATCATAGCTTGATGCTTCTCCTTTTCGTCTTGGTCGTCGTTCTGTCGTTCGTGCCACAAGCAAACGGCAATCCGGCTTTCGCTTGCAATTTTGAAAATGAAAATTGGTGTGACATGAGAAATGGTGTTTGGTTCGATCCACAAATTCCTCTATACAACTTCACCATTGTCACCGGAAAAACTGCACCCGATAAAGACTTATCACCGAGTGTCGACCATACATTGAATTTGAGTTCCGGACATTTTCTCTATTGGCATCGTCCATCGAATGCTGCCCATACTTCAATGGATGGATGCGTGAGCACGCCAATATTCGAGTTGCACGAACACATGTGTTTGAACTTTGCTTATTTCATCAAGTCCAATGCAAGTATCAGAAATGGAACATATCTTAGTGTCAGTATAAAAGGATGCTACAGTATGACTTTATGGGTAATGCACGCCGATGACACACAAGGTTGGCAGGCAGCACAAATGCAACTTCTCGATCTGACGTGCAACATCACTATTTGGTTCGATGTTATGCCCGATATTGACAACGCTGTTTCCGTTGCACTTGACGATATTGTTGTTGATATTTGTCCACGCTATATAACGACTACTACTACCGCAGTACCATTCAATAGCTCTTCAGAATTTACAACCACTATCAACCTCCTATTATTGTTGCTTTTTATTCTATGGACTTTTATATGAGTTGGTTATATAATTTTTTATAACATTTGATTCAAATTCTTGAATAAACAATGCATCTATCTGGGGATAATGAAATCTATAGTTTGTTCGATTAATAGTAAATAGAAACATCTTATTACACGAACCTGAGACAAGTGTTTGTGTCATCTGATATATATATTGTTGTTGATAGTATTAGTGTCACTTCTCTGAGTCTGATGCGTTCGATTCTCGAAGTTGTGAGAAAGAGTTTGGAAATAGCATCATAGATCTTTAGAAGGTGTGGAGTCTGTGAGTAGGTGAATTGGAAAACCATACCCATATTAAAAGCTATACTCACACATGATGTGAGTTACAACGATGAGAAGAGCAAGAAATCAATATAAAAAGAGAAAAGTGAAAAGTCATAAATGCGAACTATTCAACAATCGATATGAAATCAAAGATGTAAAAGCGATATGCATTAAATTGGGCGAAAGAAAATATGTTGATGTGAAAAACAGCGAAAAATAAAATGTCGATGATATAAAAATGGGATTCCGGAACTTCGCCAATAAGACTTTCGCCAAATAGGACTCTCGCCAATGGCGAAGGTCCACTGTACTTTCGCCAGTGTAGCCCCTGGACTTTCGCCAATGTACCCCCTGGACTTTCGCCAATGTACCCCCTGGAATTTCGCCAATTGGCAAAAATCCACTGTACTTTCGCCGATATACCCTTTGGAATTTCGCCAATTGGTGGAAGTACAGTGGGCTTGCGCCAATTTGACTGCGAACTGGATGTAGATTCGAAAATTCCTGTCGGCTATATTGATGAATGTAAGCTATGATAAATATTCTAACAACATTAACTCCAGCTAGAGCCCGTTGGGTCTAGTGAGACCCGAACTCGACCGGATCCGAGTCTGAAAGCTTTGTAATCACTGAGTTCGTGTCCGGGTTCGGAACATTTTACTGATCGGATCCATATCCAAAGAAATATCTCATGTATATAATAATCTTTTTGGGATTTCTTTCAATTTTTCTCTTAAAAGATCCATCAATCGGGTTCGTCTCCAGAAATTCTTGAATTCGACAGACTGTAGCTTCAACTCTTACATGTGCCCTGTATTAATATTATTTCGTGACAGTTGGAGAAAGTTTACTGTACTTTCGCCAATTGGCGCAAGTACAGTAGAATTTCGCCAATATACCCGTGGATTTTCGCCATTCGCGAATGTCCTATTGGCAAAAGTCTTATTGGCGAACTTCCGGTAACCCATAAAAATGGCGAAAGATACACGGAATCATGTTTTTTTCTTCATTACATATTATCTGCTGTTAATCTAATATAGCTGTTTATGGCATCCACTACAAGTGGCTTGTTTTTTTTATCTCGAATAAAAGTAAACTTTTGTTCCTATTGAACAATTTTGTGTATCGATTGACAGAAGAAACAAAGTTTAAAAAGCATTGGATCTACCAAGACAATGGACGTACGTCTTATATACGTACATGCAGATACTGAAAACATTTTCATAAAATCAAGTGGTGATCATAAGCAAAAAATAACTGCAGCAAGTATGATTTAAAAGCGTATTGACACATTATATGGTCAATACAAAGATGATGAAACTGATGTTGATCAAATATTAAATGGTTTATCACTAATTATAGCGAAACAAAAGAACAATGACTTGAAAAAAAGTTATGTTATCAACTTGTTCTTCGATATTTCCTGCTTTATTATTTATTTTTTCTGTATTTACATATGTACTGGTTTTTTGTCAGCAATAAAATATCTTCATCTAGTCGGTCAACAGCGATAAAATAAACTTTTTAAATATTTTCATATGATCGACATTCCTCTTTTTAACCATTTTTCTTTCGCTCATTGTAATGCCAATCGTAAAAGAATAAAAAGGATGTGAGTAGGGATGAGGTCGAGGATGTATATATGCAAGAAAAACGCTTAACCATACCCTTTGCTAGATGCAGAATTTTGTGCTCTACCGACAGATCTAATTTTTAATGTGGGTCATCGGACAAAAAATTTGTTGCTGGGGAGGAATCTAAGCATGGGTGTCGATGTGGGTGAAACTGAAAAATATCTGGAATAAAGACATCACATGACTATATAATGAAAATAGGTTCAAATTGTATCAGAACTCATCTGTAGTGAAATGGTATCGTCACGACCATCATACCCAGAGTGACATCTACACCCAGATTCCGACCTAACAACAAATATTTTGCCAATAACTCCGATTAAAAAGTATACCATTAGATAGAGAATGAAATTCTCAAGGGGGAAATGGCAGATTCCTGGGATTCTGAATCCCGTGAGGATCCTTAATCCTCAAGTAAATCGAATTCACATTCTTGATCATTTCCGCTAAAAGATGAGAATTTTTGTATATAACAGAACATTGAAGAATCGCTCTTGAACTAGTGTCCTGCACGAGTGCAACTTTTCGTACCCGAAACCAACCGGACTCGACGCAGCAGTAACCAAAACTTGCAAGACAGTTTAATAGAGAAATAAACTTTTGAAGTTTTCATTTTGTATAAAAAAAATACTTTTAATTTAAATAACAAAAGATACTTTTGTTTTATAAAAAAAAGAATATTTTTATTTTACATAATGAAATATAGTATTTTATTTTCATCAATTAACAACAATAATTACCTAAAATTTCTTAAAAAAACGAGTGAAATGGGGGCCAGCTGCTGTCTTCGTGTTTCTAATGTTCTTTCAGTTTCACTAAAAATGCGCTCGCTGATTGCTGATGATGCTGGAATTGACAATAATGCAAGTGCTAAAAGTTGATAATTTTTCATAGATACATGAATGTTTTTTTCACCACGATAACACACCTTCACCTTTTTGATAATTCACTTTACTCTTCATATATTCAAGTACTTCATCATATGCATCATTGTCACTATCTGTTGATGAATTATCATTCGAAACAAACTCTTTTAAAACATCATCCACAGTTATATCAGCGTGTTTGGCCCGTTTGTTTCTTCTTTTTTTGTTTTATCATTACCAGTTACTGTTATTACATCTGTTGGATTTTCATCAATTCCAACAGTCTTCAGCATTTTTTTTTCCAATTCCACAATATTATTACGTTCACCTTGAGTTAATGTCTAAAACAATGGAAAGAATTTTACAAATTTTTTGATATTTTGTTCTTACTGGAAGTGATTTAGTTTCCGGGTGCAAAAACGTAGCAATATAATGGATATCTGTGATCCACATTTTTTCATCAAGTTCTTCCAATAATGCTTTCTTCAATTGAACCACATATAAGTTATTGTGCTTTCTGGTTCGCAAGTCTTTTTAACTTGACGAATCATGGCAAAACCGAATGTAAAGTAGGAGTATCATCGACAGACAGTTTTTCACTGCATATTTTAAATACAGATAATAAATCAGTAATATCTTTGATCAGATAACGATCAATACCACTAACATATTTTTCTTCATTTCGATTCAATAAAATTTCCTGAACGCTATCGTAATTTAAATATATTGACCAGATAGTATTGTACATGGAATTCCACCTGATGTATAAATCTTGTTTCAAGGTCGAGGAAAGTTTGTTTTGCAGTTCGCATCACTTGAAATGACAAAGTAAATCTCAAGAGTGATCTATAATTAAGTCAATACTTGGACATTCTTCAACACTTTGTGAAACTACTAAATTAATGCAGTGACAAATTCATTGAATATGAGCTTTACCATTTAGAGCAGATACTAGATTTGAACCATTATCCGTGACATAAATAATTTCGTATGCATCAGGATTAATAGCAAATGATTTTAGTATGTTCCATATAATTCATTTTGTGTTTTCTAGAATTAAGAATCATAAGAGAGAAATTTTGAATAAAATAATTGTGTTACCGCTTGTTTTGGCATCACTAAATAGAACAGTTTTTAGTACAAAATTTTTCATAGCACCATCTTTATTGGAATGCAGTGTAAGTGTTAAATAGTTCCCAGAAGAATATTTATTCTTCCAAAAATCTGTTGTTACACCGAACAATTTTATCTTTTTTAAATCAAATAACAATGTATTAATTAATTCTGAACGATTTTCTAAATAAAAATTATTTTTTAAACTAGAGACTAATTACTTTTATATACCTTCAGCTACTATCGGAATTTTAAAAGAAGACCGGTGGAAAAAAAGCTTATAATTTTTCAACGAAAAGCCAAAGCGACCTGCGGTTTTCACCATTTGAAAGAGCAAAGTGGGGCACGTGAACCTATGTAAAAATCGATGGGTCAATTCATA